GATTTGTAAAAGATGATTTGTAAAAGTTGATTTGTGTAATTGATGCGAACATAATTCTTATTTGTGCTTGTTTAATTGATTGAAATGTAATGGTTGATTTGTTGATTTCAATCTGCATTATGTTGAAGGCAAAAATGACTATCGCAATGCGAAATGAAAATCGCAATGCGAAATGAAAATCGCAACGAGAGAATCACAATGCGAAATGAAAATCGCAATGCGGAAATGAAAATCGCAACGAGAGAATCGCAATGCGATTTTCATTTCGCATTGCGATTTTCATTTCCGCATTGCGATTCTCTCGCTGCGATTTTCATTTCGCATTGCGATTTTCATTTCCGCATTGCGATTCTCTCGTTGCGATTTTCATTTCGCATTGCGATTTTCATTTCCGCATTGCGATTCTCTCGTTGCGATTTTCATTTCGCATTGCAATTTTCATTTCGCATTGCGATTTTCATTTCCGCATTGCGATTTTCATGTTGGGATTTTCATTTCGCATTGCGATTGTAATTTCCGTGTTGCGATAGTCAAATGCATGCCTAATAAGTGATAACAACTGAATAACAAGAGTTGGTTAAGTCAAAATGGTTGGCCTGAGTCATTAATTCAACTGAAAATGTTAAAAGTTCACACATAAAATCCACATAATACAACGTTTGCATTTAAAAATCACCTAAGTTAACAGTCCCAAAAGGTGAAGCCAATTGTGATTGGGATTTTAAAGATGATTGCCTTTTGCTTGACACCATATGAGCTTTGGATTTTGATGAGGATCCATATTTTGGTAGAGGAAAAGATGATTTTGATGGCACTGGTGATCCACATGTCAACCTTGTATGACCACTTTCCTTGCACCGACTACATGTCGATCTCTTCTTCTCTTCACCCTTAGACGGTATACGATCGTGACTTTTTGGTCGGCCAGGTAGCCTTCTGTCCATGGCTGGTGGCAAAACTGTTTGTAAGTCATCTGGTATGTCCCACTCAGAAGGATGTGGAATAGGGTAGACAATCTCGGCATAAGTCTGTCGATAAACTTCTGTAGTGTAGAAATCCATAGCGTATGCGCTTGAATCATCTTGGTTTAAATGAAGAGCAACTTTTATAACATGGTCACACGGATAACCAGATGTTTGCCATTTCATACAATTACACGTCTTTGCATTTAGATCGACTAGCCCATTTAAGTTATTATCCAGTACTTGAAACAAAGTGTTTGAACATAGTTCAACTCTCCATGACGTTGACTTCACAACACGTTTCGTTATTTTTTTTCAGTCCATGGTGTAACACGATGTTCCAATGTTCCTGTAAATTTAAATAAACAATACTTAGTAAAATATATAAATATGATAAGTTACGAATTCAAAGAAATAATACCTGCATGGTTTCTTTTCTTGTAGTACCACTGTTGAATAGAGGCTCGAAAAAACTCCATTAACATAGTAATGGGTAATTTCCGGGAATGACGACTTAGAGCGTTGATTGATTCTGCACTATTAGACGTCATGAAACCATATCTTGCTCCAAGTTGATGTACTCTTGACCATCTTTCAAACCCGACATCTTCTAGTGTTTGAGCACACTGAGGCAAAACACGTCTTAAACAATTATATGCTTATTGAAATCCACTTCCCGATAAGCTTTTACAGCCTTCCAGTATGTCCATTTGTGCTTTTTTATACCAGCAGACCTTGATTTTAGATTTCTATACAAATGAACACCACAAAGTCCATGAAAAGCATCTGGGAAACACCTTCTAACAGCGTTGTCAATTGAGTTTGCCCTATCGGATATGATTGTCAGATTGCTAATAGGACCTATGCAATCCCTAAGATGCCCCATAAACCATGTCCATGAATCAGAGGTTTCAGATTTGCCAACCCCGTAAGCTATTGGCAATATCCCATTGTTAGCATCCATGGCTACTGCTAATAAGTTTACTCCAAGGTATCGACTTTTCAAATGTGCTCCGTCAACTATAATAACTGGGCGCATGCAAGTAATAAACGAACGAATCTACAAAATAATATACACAAGAAATATAATCATTTAAATGTGAAATGCATGTAACTAACAAAAATGAGTCAACAAAATTATATTGATTTACTAACCGTAGCACCAATGGCGATAAACAGCAACTCAAAGTGTCTATCTCTATCTGTTTTGATATGAGTTACCGACCCAGGATTTTTCAGCTTTAAATTGTGACAATAAGCCGACAGTTGGGCAAACGATGCTTCTGGCGACCCCCTCAACAATTCCAAGGCATAACATTTGGCTCTCCAAGCTTGAGAATATGATATACTAATCTTGAACCGAGCATTCATGTCAGTCATAATTTCATGTCCCCGATATACCCTGCCATTCAAAAACATTAACTCAGCCAGAAAACCACCCAACACCTTTTTGTTTGCCTGTCTATGGTGAGGAAAAACTTGGGTTCTTGAACATGTATGTTTATCAATAAAAGTCCTAACTTGAAACATTTCGCAATCTTTTATTCTCTTTGCAATCATACGCCACGTACAGTTTTTGTCAATCATACACCTTGTTTCAAAACGATCTTTGCTTGATTTGTTAACTTTTAGTTGATAGCCATCTTCCACACATTTCGTATACAAAGCTATCTTCAAGTCTTCATTTGTATCAAAACAATCATCTTTCTTGATACGAATAACTTTTGTGTAACAATCAACTGCTTTCTTTACCAACTCTTCTTCCGGTATCTGAAGTAATTCTGGCATATTCCAGTTATACGCCCGTGGCATTTTCTTTCTTCGGGGACTTTTTCTTCTTCTTTTTCTTCTTCAGGATTATATGAATTACAGAATGGATGTTCAACATGTTCATTCACAGTCGTAACTTCCTCCTCATTATCATCAACAATACATTCTTCGGCAACGGCTGTTTCATCATCAAAATTCGGGTATTGACCAATATCAAATCATTACACGCAGGGTCTGTTTCTTCTTCTGAACATCATCAAAATCCGTGTATTGACCAATATCAAAGTCCGGATATTGACCAAGACCAAATTTCGAATACTGACTAGTACTCACAATTTTTTCTGTGGCTCATCATCGTCTAACTGGTCAATACGAAAACCAGAATTTGGTGCTGAAAGTTGATTGGGATTTGGATTAGAGAAAGGTTGTGGGTTTTGAGAAAAACTTAGTTGATTACTACCCGCTACTGACCCAACAATACCACTTCTAGGTTCAACAACATACAATGTAACATCATCTTGTGAAACACTAATGTAAGCAATGAATCGTTCAACATCTTCATTGTCGGTTAACAAATAAACTTTACCATTTCTCTGATAAGATAGCCTAAATCCACTTAGGGGCTCTAAATTCAATTTATTTGAAACACGTAGCATTAGAGTTTCATAAGTTAACTTTTGTAAAGACAATTTTAGTTGAAGATTCATGGGTAAAGGCATATATTGTAAAACACCATTAACATTATCCCATGACCCTCCAAAACACAAATCTATCCAAACATGATCAACATTAGATGATTTCATGGTTGTAAATTAATTTACTAAACAGACGAGCTGCGAAACTAAAACCTGTTGCCGGATTGGGAAGGATGTCGTTGGATATAGGAACGGATGTCGCCGGAGAGAGTGATAGATGGAGATGGAATGAGTTGCGATTTAGGGATTTAGTTTATGATTTGCTGCTGTTGCGTAGTTATATACCCAAAATTTCAGTGTTGTGATTTATAGATTCTCGTTGCGATTTACGGATTATCGTTGCGATTTACAGATTCTCGTTGCGATTTACGGATTATCGTTGCGATTTACGGATACGCGTTGCGATATACGGATACGCATTGCGGTTTACGGATACGCGTTGCGATTTATGTGTTCGCGTTGCGATTTTCATATTCGCGTTGCGATTTATGTGTTCACGTTGCGATTTTCATATTCGCGTTGCGATTCTGGAAAATCGCAATGCGAATTTGTACTATCGCATTGCGATTTTCAAGAATCGCGTTGCGATTTTGGAAACTGATTTGCGATTCTGGGGATCGCGTTGCGCTTTTTATTTCGCGTTGCGATTTTGTTGGTCATTTTGGCAAATCCAAAAAAAGTTGGTTAAAATCGTATATTATAAGGCATTTTTGGTCACTGAGGCGATTTTCTCGTTATATTATTATGTATCGATACATTTTTATAAAGTATCGACACTTTATTAGCGCTATAACTTCTTCTCTTTTAAATTTCAAAAGTGTCGATACTTATAATAAAGTATCGACACTATCAACATATCCGGTAGCGCTTTACCTGTTTTGTCATTTATAGACCGGTTTTGTCATTTTTTACCTGTTTTATTGTTATGGATCGATACATTTTTATAAAGTATCGACACTTTCAATATATTCGGTAGCGCTTTACCTGTTTTGTCATTTATAGACCGGTTTTGTCATTTTTTTACATGTTATATTATTATGGGTCGATACATTTTTATAAAGTATCGACACTTTTAATATATCCGGTAGCGCTTTACCTGTTTTGTCATTTATAGACCGGTTTTGTCATTTTTTTACTTGTTATATTGTTATGGATAGATACATTTTTAAAGAGTATCGACACTTTCAATATATCTAGTAGCGCTTTACCTATTTTGTCATTTATAGACCGGTTTTGTCATTTTTTTACTTGTTATATTGTTATGGATCAATATATTTTTATAAAGTATTGACACAAACCGATAAGCTAAGTTTGCCGGTTGTCAAATTTTTTAATATTTCTTCATGATTTCCACTTATTACATTATTATTACTCGATATTTCCGATAAGACTAAACCAAATTTATCAAATATCTTTTAATATATCTGATAATACCGTATATTAATCGTATATTAATTCACCTTTCCGGAGACAATCCCTATTAGTTGTATTATCAACATATACCATCTCCGATTAGCTAAATTAAAATTCAAACTTAAAAAAAAAAAATCAAAGTTAAAGCAACAGTAAAAACCTGATCCAATGAGCTGAAATTGTCAGGTATAGATGGGGGCTTGCTGTCTGGGTTGATGGTTTTGATCTGCTGAAGGTTGATGCCAAAAGTCAGAGTGAGAAGTATCATCATATCCTGATTCGGTATTTCCCATACCTGCAGAATTAGTACCTTTATAAAATTAAAAACACACCTTTACATGAAATTGAGTTAATGAGAAACAAACAAATTTATGCATGCATTGAAAATTCAAATGGAGGGTGATTCTGGTGTGCGACGTCTAAAAAAAATTAAAAAATTATATGACCTGTTAAATAAGTAATCGGTTAAAATTTAGATTAGTTATGTTATATTATTTAACCGAAAATATTATCAAGTGCAATAATATATTAGGTAGCGCTTATATAATGTAATAGGTAGCGTTTATATTGACCTATTTTCTAACTAAACAAATATATTTAAACCGGTAACATTGTAAATTTACCTATTACATTATAATTATCGATTTTGATGTTTTTGGGATTGATACAATTTTAAATGTATCGACACTTTATGCGTGCACCTCATTGTGCTTTTATTTTGGAAAAAAAGTATCGACACATATTTAAAGAGTGTCGATACATAATGTAAACCTATTTGCTAATTAACCAGTATATTTTTACCGGTTACATTGTATTAAAATATCCAATATTATTCTTTTGTTACTGCAAAGTTTTTGTTCTTTTATTACTGAGTTTTGCTTAAAATATCCAACTTTTTGTATTAAAAAATGAAAATTTTGAAATAAAAATGACCACACAAGCACACTTTTTTACTACCGGTTTTGTTATTTCGAGATCGATTTTGTCATATTTTTACCTGTTATATTGTTATGGATCGATACATTTTTATAAAATATCGACACTTTATTGGCGCTATAACTTCTTTTCTTTTAAATTCCAAAAGTATCGATACTTATAATAAAGTATCGACACTATCAACATATCCGGTAGCTCTTTACCGGTTTTGTCATTTCGAGACCGGTTTTTATCATATTTTTACCTGTTATATTGTTATGGATCGATACACTTTTATAAAGTATCGACACTTTATTGACGCTATAACTTCTTTTCTTTTAAATTCCAAAAATGTTGATACTTATAATAAAGTATCGACACTATCAACATATCCGATAGCTCTTTACAGGTTTTGTCATTTTGGGACCGGTTTTATCATATTTTTACCTGTTATATTGTTATGGATCGATACATTTTTATAAAGTATCGACACTTTATTAGCGCTATAACTTCTTTTCTTTTAAATTCCAAAAGTGTCGATACTTATAATAAAGTATCGACACTATCAACATATCTGGTAGCTCTTTACCGGTTTTGTCATTTCGAGACCGGTTTTATAATATTTTTACCTGTTATATTGTTATGGATCGATACATTTTTATAAAATATCGACACTTTATTGGCACTATAACTTATTTTCTTTTAAATTCCAAAAGTGTCGATACTTATAATAAAGTATCGACACTATCAACATATCCGGTAGCTCTTTACCGGTTTTGTCATTTCGAGACCGATTTTATCATATTTTTACTTGTTATATTGTTATGGATTGATACATTTTTATAAAGTATCGACACTTTCAATATATCCGGTAGCGCTTTACCTGTTTTGTCATTTATAGACCGATTTTGTAATTTTTTTACCTGTTTTATTGTTATGGATCGATACAATTTTATAAAGTATCGACACTTTCAATATATCCGGTAGAGTTTTACCTGTTTTGTCATTTATAGACCGATTTTGTCATTTTTTTACCTGTTATATTGTTATGGATCGATACATTTTTATAAAGTATCGACACATTCAATATATCTGGTAGAACTTTACCTGTTTTGTCATTTATAGACCGGTTTTGTCATTTTTTACCTGTTATATTGTTATGGATAGATACATTTTTATAATGTATCGACATTTTCAATATATCCGGTAGCGCTTTACCTGTTTTGTCATTTATAGATCGGTTTTGTCATTTTTTTACTTGTTATATTGTTATGGATCAATATTTTTATAAAGTATCGACACAAACCGACAAGCTAAGTTTGTCGGTTGCCAAATTTTTTAATATTTCTTCATGATTTCCACCTATTACATTATTATTACTCGATATTTCCGGTAGCGCTAAACCGAATTTATCAAATATCTTTTAATATATCCGGTAACGCTGTATATTAGCCTGCCTTTCCGGAGACAATCCCTCAAATGCACAATGAAGAACCCTTGGGGGCCGTTTGGATGGGGGAATGTGAGATTACCTTGGGAATAGAATCTATATTCTCCCGTTTGGTTTGGCCGGGAATGTCATTCCCGTTAATGTTTTATTACCAATAGTGAATTTTTTGGGTATATTACCTGGAATGTCATTACCTCCATTCCCTTAGGTATTGTAACATTACCGACGTTTTGGACTAAAATGCCCTTAAATTTTTTTCTTTCAAAAAAATCATTCTTCTGTCATTGAATAATAAAAATTATACGAAGATTAAATTATAAATTTATCCTTAAACTATTTTAGATTTACAAAAAAAAATATAATTAAAATTTTATATGAAGTTAAAGGGTTAAAATAAAATTTTACCCTTTCATTAAACCTTTTTTATATTTTTAATTTTGTAAAAAAATTATATAAATTATATAAATTTAATTTTTTTAAAGAAAATATATAAATATTTTTCAACTTGGAATATTATACAAATATATAATAAGGATAATTTGGTCAAATATATATTCTAATAATCTTTTATTCTTTTAACCAAACACGGTAATCTTATATTCCTGCTAAACCAACCAAACACAAAATACAACATTCCCAGTAATCCTATTATCTGGTAATCTTTTATTCCTACTGATAATCTTACATTCCATGAACTAAACGCACCCTTATATTTTATGTGTCGAGCATTTTCTCTCTCATGAAACACAATTCTATTAGCATTTAATCAATGATTTTTCTTTTAACTAATCACTTTTACTTTATAGAAAACTCTCGTGGAAGTAAAAAGCCAATTCGATACCTGTGGGAGAAGCCTTTTCTCTTTTCTAGCACAAAACTAGACAATAGGTGAGCCTTTTCTTCTAGCACCATAGTAAGATAACTAACGTTTGACAAATTCCACCGAAAGCAAGTGTAACAAAGAAGAATTAGAAATAAAAATGTTAACTCAGAAAAGCAAATCTATCCCCCTAAAAAGTCCAAAGCAGTTCAACAGAGCCACATCCATTATGTATCTGAAGTGTGTTTATCTGTCATAAATCCTATAATTTCCATTTTAAACGCAATAGGAAGCCGAGAAACTATAGAAACTAAATTAAAAACTCAAATGTCAACAGCCATTCAAAGCTGAATTTTGAAAGCTGAATTTGTGATTCCCAAAATTCCCTTTTTTAACTTCTTCGATAATCATCTCCCATCAACCAGCTAGAAATTTATGGGAAAAAATAGATTTCTCTCTGAGATGAAAACTGCTTTATACTCAGTTTCTCGAATTTCCGTTTTCCTGTAACTTAGTTCACAGCAATGAAAATATATCTAAATCAGCTCAAATTCCATTCCTTCAATAAAAACAACAAAAATTATATCTACACCAAAGAAGAAACAGATCAAAGACGGCAAATGTAATCCCTCAAATGCAGAAAGTACAAAAAGATGAAAAAGGAAGTCATGCGCATGGGAAACAAAGGGAATTCTGGAGAGAAAGTTACCTTTCTGATGAAGAGATGGAAAAGAAAAACAAACAGTCCGCCTGAGTTAATAATCGCCGGTGAGAAGGAGGCCACTGGATAGCGAATAAATTTTCGGTGTGGATGAGATTTACGTTGACACTTAAAGTCTTTCTTCTTTCTTGTTGAAAGCTAAGTTGTTCTTGTCGATTTCTTTCTTCTTTCTCGCTAAGTTGTTCTTGTTGAATGAAACAATGTTTACTTTATTTTAGGTAGTGGGATGTGATAGATTAGAAATAATTGTTGAATGAAACAATGTTTGTCGGCTTTTATGTTAGGAAGTCGGATGTGATAGATCAGAAATAATTGTTGAATGAAAGTCACATGTTTTGGTGCAATAATTCGATTTAAATTATATTAAATTGAATAAATTCGACTATTTATAAATAATAATAAGATAAAATATAAATAAAATATAAATAATTTAATTAAAAATGAACTTAAATATTATTAAAAACATAAATTCGATTTAATAATTATTAGTTATAAAACATAAATTCAACTTCAATTCTAAGATTTAATAATTTAAGAACAAAAATTACATAAATTTCCTTGCAAAAATAGGTTCATTATTACAAAATCAAATATATAAATACATAGAAATGCATATATGATTACTAATGAGGCCTATATCTTGGTAAATTAAGACATTTGTTTTTTGAATGACCTTCACCCTTACATAATCCACATCTCTTTGGTTGACCTCTCTCTCTAGCATGGAAATCCATATTGGTATGAATACTACTAAAACCCAAGTCGACCCTTTGGACTTCTACGAAGCATTGGATTTGGCAGCCATTCGTCATGATCCTTTTTGGGCCAATATGATTCATTTGGGATATGCCTGAACGCATAGCTGTAGACATTTAATATCCTATGTAGGTGAAAGCATTCATCAACATAAGTGTATACGCTTACACCAATATACATGCATGCAGCGACTGCATGAGCACATGGATATTTCCATGTCTGAAAATGACTTCAATCACACAATTTGTGTCGTAAATCAACTATAAATGTTTGGTCTTCTCCTCCGACGTTACGGCGTATGCATGACACAACAAAAGTATGACCAACTCGGTCGAAATTATGAACAACCATTGATGTTGTCAAACGCTCATTTGCTTCCACCACTGTAGGAGCCCAAGTTTTACCTCTATTTATGAAACACTCAATTTCCTTGCCTTTATCGGACCAAACCTTAGCCAACCTAAAGTACGTCTCTTTCACCACACTCGCTATTGGGAGATGACGTGTACCTTTTAGTACTGAATTAATGGCCTCAGCAAGGTTTGTGGTCATATGTCCGTATCGTCGACCTTCATCGTATGCTTGCGACCATTTTTCTTGCGGTATTTTTGAAGCCCACTTCCAAACACGCTGATCATCATAAAATACCTTCAAAATTTCCAATCTCTTATCAAAATTTGGTCGACGTAGTTCGTATCCTGTTTCATAATATATTTGTGTTAAACCTCAATTAAAAAAAACCACATAAAAAATGCACAAATATTGAAAATAAAACTTACCCATGCTTACTATCTCGCTACGAATGTGTGCGTTATGAAACTGGTCGATACTACTCTTACCAATATGACGGATACAAAATGTCAGATATGCATGCGGAGGTATCCAATGACTTCCTAGTCGTTCAATTGCCGCCAAAATACCCGTTCCTCTATCAGATATCAAGCAAACTCCGTCTTCTCGAATGACATATTGACGTAGATTGATCAAAAAGAAATCTCAAGCTTTTGTTGTCTCTCCCTCAACAATGGCGAATGCAATTAGGAAGATATTTTGCTCACCATCTTGCGCAACTGCCATCAAGAGTACATGCCTATATTGACCATACAACCACGTACCATCTACATGGATCATACGTTTACAAAATGGAAATCCTTCAATACATGACTTGAATGCCCAAAAGAGACTATGAAATATTTTCTTCCCTGGAACAAGTTGACCTTCTTCGTCATACGCAGGCATGGTTTGAGACTTCACTATGGTTCCTGTGATAAATCGCTTCATTGCTTGTAGCAAATATGGTAGCTCATTGTACGATGTATCCCAATCTCCATAAGTCAGCTTCATTGCCTTCATCTTCGCATTCCACGCCTTGCCATATTTTACTTGATATCCAAATTGGCTTTGAATTGATGTAGCTAACACTGAACAAGAGATCCTTAGATCCTTTTCAACCATCGCCTTCACGTATTCGCATATTACATCGGAGTCCAATAGTCGGTGGTCTTGTTCGATCGATTTTCGCAAACATGTGTGAGGACCATTGTACCTTGTGATGACCCAAGCATCGTGCCTTTGAATTTTCGACACTCTGATCTTCCACTTGCACTCTGGGCCATATTTAACACACTTCGCGTATAGGATTTTCTGGTTGGACTCTGCAACATGGACATCAACATGGCATTTGATGCAATACTCTTTAATCGTCAGCGTAGCTTCATTTTTTCCTCTGAATTGCACCCCAACTGAAAATTCACCAGAATTTTCGAATGATTCAGCCATTTGGTACGGAGGTAAATGTGGCATGTCTGGGAATTCAGGTGCCCTCATCGCATTATAATATATCTCGTACATATGAGGAGTAGCTTCATACAGTGTTGAAACTTCATCAATGGCCAAGTCAATTGCACCTCCACCGAAAAAATTATCATCATCGCCCAAAACGGGTTCTTCGGTTTCTTCATCTTTACTTGAATCATCATGAATTTCACCCCATCGATTTTCAGCATCAATATCACCAGTCAATTCCGAATGGTGTATGTTTCTCGTCTCAAACCCTGCTGCTGCGGATGTTCCTCCGACTTCATTTCCACTTTCCAATAGTGCCATAAAATTGTTTGGGAACCTGTATGTCGGGTCCTCAAACTCACTGTCGAAAGCCATTTTAGATGGATTTCGAGCCATATCTCTTGATGACCCAGGAACATCACATATGTTACGCACATCAACAAATAACTCAATAACTGTTATATTGGTTGACTCATGTAATCTAATCATGATTACAATATCATCATATTCTTCAAGTGGTACTGCAACATATCTGACTAGGTTGGGACATGCCATAAACCTGTACCTCAAACCATCAACTGCAGCTCGAATTTTTATTTCTATCTTTTGCTTCATTTCTACAAATGTGATGTCTCTTTTGAACATCATACTTATTAGTTTTTCAGACTGGAAAAAAAAACCCCGACCTCATTTTTCATAATCTATCCATTATAATGGACAATCGTGAAAAACTTGTTGCGAATTTTCTCTACAAATAAAAAAATATAAATTTATATTAAAAATTATATAAGATAATTTCATAAATCATTAAATAAATAAATATAATATACTATACTATTATATTATATTATATTAACGATAAAATAAAATTTGTTATTTAACATGATTGATCGATTATTAATATTACTAATAATGATTTAATAATTATTAATAATCTAATGATTTGATATTTAATGATTTAGTAATGATTACTAATAATTATTTATTATAAATATTTAATTATTTGGATTTAATACTAATTATTTAGTAATGACTACTAATAATAATGATTAATTTGATAATATTTTTGATTTTTTTAAATATCAAACGAATTTGTTAATTAATTTTTACAAATTTTAATATTATATTCGATTCAATTTTTACTCATTACTAATTTACACATAATCTAATATAAATTAAACAAAAGATTTTTTTTTAAACAACAATAAATATTTTTAAACAAAATATTTTTTTAAATAGGAATAAATTAAACAAATTAATTTTATATAATCTAATATAAACTAACTAACTAACTAATTTACACATACACACAACAAAAAATAACAAATTACCCGCGTATTTATGCCTTCTTCCTTTCCTTTCTTTTTTCTTTCTTCGAATCAATCTGTACGTGGGCAAAAGTTGTGGAATAATGCCCTGTAGGTGTAAACAAAATATTTTTAAACAATAATAAATTAAAAAAATTAATTTTATATAACCTAATATATTATAATATAACTTAAACTAATAAACTATTTCCTTATTATAATATAACTTAGTTAAAATAACAAACTAACAAACTAATTAAGCACTAATTAACTTTTTTATAATATAACTTCAACTTCAATAAACAACCTAATATACGTTTAAACACACTAACAAACTAATTAAATAATTTTTAAATAATATAATATATAACTTAAACTAACAAACTAATATAATATAACTTAAACTAGCAAACTAATAATTTAAACTAACAAACTAATTAACTAAATTTTTGTTTTACCCTAAACCCTAAACTAATAATTTAATATAATAAACTAATTTAAATATTAAAAATTACCCCACGATGAAGGTTTGGAACTTATCTCCCTTTCTTCTTCTTCTTCCTTTACTTTCTCTCTTCTCCCTTTCTTTCTTTCTTTCTCCTGCTCCATGTGTTAACCCCCCATATCCAATATATAACTCACTCGGCTACTTCATTGCATCAATTATTTGAGCGTTGAAGGCTACAATAATGCACCAATTATTGATGCATGTAGGGCTGTGAATCATGTTGCAATACCGTGAATCATGTTGTAATAATGCAGCTATTATAGATGTATGCAGGGGACAGTGGCATGCAAGGGAGCAGGAGCAGGTGTGCGTTGCTTGGTCGTCGGGCGTGCATGGCAACCTACCATGTCACGGGGCGTGCATAGCGACCTACAAGTCACTGGGCGTGCATGGCGAACTACAGCGGGATTACATGGCGACCTACGTGCATGGCGCATGCACAGGTCGCGGGGATAGCTTGGCGACCTCCTTGGTCGCCCGGAGCACCTAGCGACCAACGTGGACCTGTAGAAAACGCTTTATCTCAGCAAATAATTCTCCAACAACATTATCTTAGGATTTTTTTTCCTACACCATTATCTGAGAAATTTTGCCATCCCAGGCATCTCTCTTCCTTCTAAATACAAGTATATTTCTTTTCAATATTTATTTGTATCTTTTTCTTATTGTGTTCATAATAGTGTGTCGAGACAAGTGATTTATTTGTCCGATATTCCACGTCGAAATATGTTTATTTATGTCCATTTATTTATATTTATTTTTGTTTGTTCGTTCGTTTATAGTCATTTATTTATGTTTGCTTATATTCAACTTAATC